TTTTTTTTTTTTTTAAGATTTATTTATTTATTAATACAGAACAGGGGTACAGCCAGATGTGCAGGGGTGGTGAGAGGCTTCACCAGAGACAGAGTGGGGAACAGAACAGGCAGATGGATGAAGTACACTGCTGAGGGAGCAGCGGGTGGGTCAGGAGAGGTCTGCCACGCCATGTGGATCCTCCGGGGCTGGGGATCGAACTTGCACTGAAGCGGCTGCCGCCAGCTTGCAGTGCTGCATCCTAGCCCATTGCGCCACCAGGGAGGGCCCAGCGCCACCTTCTTAAACCCATCCCTCCCTTTCCCACTGGCCCTTAGGGTTTGGTTTCACATCCCATTCCGGGGCGCAGCACTATAGTCTTACATGCTACGCCATGGTCACCCTGTCCTCTCCCATGACTTCTCTCTGCATTCCCACCCCAGCTCCCCCGCCCCCCTTCCATTTCCCCAGTCTCCTGGTCACTTCCACAAGGCCACAGGCTTATAGGACCAACTCCTGGGATCTCTTCCATAAAACAAAGCCACTGCCTCCACTCTCCAGGACACGGAGCCCAGACCCTGCTCCCCACAAGCCTCACACACAGAAAGCCAGCACCTGCAGGTCCCTGTGTCCACCCTTACCTGGTGGTCTCCACAACATCCTTCCTCAGTTGCTGCAGGTATTCTCGGCGCCTGCTGGGTAGGTCAAGTTCCCGGGTGGGGATCTCCCTGTCAGGCAGGGGGCTCAGCTGCTTCTGGGGGCTGAGGCTTCGCGTCCGCCGGAACTTCTGCAGTCGCTCAGCCCGCTCTCTCCGAAGCATTTCAATGGTTTCTTTTTGCCTAAGATAAAATGCCACTGATTCACTGGAGCCGGACCCAAAAGCCCATCTCCATCTTAAGATCTACCTCTGATGCCTGGAAGATCTCAGATCTGAGCAAGGGGAGAAGGAACAGCCAGCTTCTCACCCTCTCTTTCCCCCCCAGCCTACCCCAATCCACCCCGTCCCCCCACGCTGGGCCGGGCTCTCACCGGGCAGCACGCTCCGCATGGGTGGACATCACAGGCTCGTCAGCAGCAAAGGCCTCCCCCGTCCCGCTCTGCAGCACCTGCAACAGGGCGTCTGCCTCCCCGAAGCCGTGGTGCAGTTTGGCTTCTGTGAGTTCTGTGCTCAGTGAGAAGTTCTGGACCCCAACTTGCAGGGGGATCTTCTCCCTCCTGGACCACTCAGGATCCAGGCTCTGTCTGTCAGGCACGTGGGGAGACCTTAGTCCTCCATGTTCTCCAGAGCTGAGATCACATCTGGTCCCCAGCAGCTCCCTCACACCCAGCCCCCCAGGAGAGTCATCCTGAACCCCACACCAATTACTAAATTTGTTGTGCACCGGAAGGTCCCTGAGGCTGTGGTGCTGGGGCTCTGGGACCGTGCATGCCTCAGAACTAGAGTGCAGCAGCCCCCCAGACTGGCAGGCCTCAGGTGTGTCCAAGGTGGGCGCCTGGAGCCCCACAGTATCAGTCAGGTCAGAGCCAGGGCGGGGGCTGAGGTGCTGGGGGGCTCCCCACGAAGAGGGAAAGTCCAGTGTGCGTGGTGGTTCCGGGGGAGCAGTCTCACTCCCATTTTCTGTCCGATTTGGCCACCGACTTGGTCCCCCAGTGTCCAGTTGCCCACACTCAGGGAAAGCCACGTCCTCGGGCACGAAGCCATCGGCCAGCCTCTGCCTCCTGCTCCTCGGGGGCGGAAGTGGCAATCCGCTTTGGACACAGGTGTTGTTCCTGGACGGAAGCTGCTCAGGGAGCTCATCTAAGAACCGAACCTGGAGTTTGGGGCTCTGCTCTGGGCTGTCCGAGGCGCTTACCTCAAGGAGGGGCCTACTATCACTCCTTTCTGAGGGACTTTTGCCTTCTCCGTGGAGAGCCTCCACTTTCTGGGAGCCACCTGGTTCACTAGTACTTTGATAATAATCATCCACTGGAGCTCCAGGGGCATCCTGGGGAAGGTCTGGGTTGGAGACAAGCTTCTGGCAGCCTTCAAGAGCATGAGCTGAGGGGGGTGAGAGAGACAAAGAGCTGGGGGGGAGCCCTGTCCCTTGGACACTGGCACTAAGCGTGAGGATTGGGGAGGAGGCCCTGTCCACCAACAAGGCACTCATGTGGCCTGGCTCCCTCTGGACCTTAGGTTCCCCGGAAGACTCCACATTACTGGGGCAGAATCCAGGGGACCGAGAGTCGGGGCTGTGGACAGCCAGGTGGGACAGTTCCTCTGACTGGGAGCCGGCAGGCAGGGAGGCGTCCGGAGAAGCCCGGGGGCTCACAGAAGTGCTGTTCTGCTCAAAGGGGGCTTTCTGAAGTCGCAAGTGGGACAAGGATACTGGAGGGCTCTGGGAGGGGCAGTGGGGGCTTGCTTTCTGAAGATCTGGGGGCGCTGTCCCTTTCCACACTGTCTCCTCTGCCTCTCTCTTCTGAAGAGTCTCTGGGCCATGTTCCTTTTCTTGCCAGCTTGGGCTTGAGACATCTGAGCCCGGCGCTTTTCGGACCGCATTGACCTGCTGAGGGCTGGCCTCCGGATTCAAGGAGGGCAGAGGTGACGGGGCCAGGTTGGTCTGGACGCCCTCATCTATGGTGGTCTGAGTGCAGCCATCCATCTTCAGGACAGGGGGCGCCTCACCAGGAGTCTCCCTCTTGGCATCCAGCTCCTTTGTGGCCACGCTGGGCTGCGACAGACTCCCGAGCAGCTCCGACGTGCTGTGCAGGAGCTGTGAGAGGTGCACAGACAGGTTGCGCATGCTGGTCCAAGAGGCCAGGTCAGAGGCTGCCAGCTGAGCAGGGACGTCACTGTAGCTCCAATGCAGCCTGCTGCCCAGGGTCTGCGTGCCCTGCTCCAAGGTGTTTATCCTGGCCTGTCCCGGGGTGCTGCCCGCCTCAGACGGATACAGCAGCACAATCTCGTCCACTGGCCCTACCGCACTTTCTTCAGCCGCAGGGGGCTCACTGCCCAGAGTCTCTATTCCATTAGGGGGGCCGAGGAACTGGGCCCTCTGTTCAGGACCCTTAGTAGGAGCTGCTCCTCTGGGGCCAGCCAGGACGTAAGGGTGCCCCAAGGCCAGTGAGGAACCCCATACTTCCCAGGACTCCTGCGAATCCTGGGCATTTTCAACGCTGCTGCATGTGCTCGACAGGCCGCGGGCATTGGCATAGGTGCTGAGGTGGGAGTGGAACGGGGAGTTCTGCTCTTCTAAGCCCTGGTCCACGCTGGAGCACCGGGCCACCTTTGGTGGCACGGGGCCCTGGGGCACCTGGCTGGACGAGACATCGACGGCACTGCCGAATACATACTGCTTCCAGCCAATGCGCACTGGCGCCTCTGGGTGCCTGTGCAGGACATAGGGATTGATATCACTGGAGCCAAAGTGCAACACTGCTTTGCCCACCTTGGAGTGCTGCTTCTCTGGCCTGGTCTGGCCACCCACTCTCTCTGGCTTTCCCTGCTGGGCCTGTTCCAGAGAAGTCGGGGTCATGAAATCAGGCGTTGGCATGCAGGAGAGCGTCGATGAAGTTGGGTAAGGAGGGCTGGCAGGTTGCAGGGGCCTGTGATCAGTTGGGTAAGGAGGGCTGGCAGGTTGCAGGGGCCTGTGATCAGCAGTGCTACTGTCCACGTTCGACGAGACTTGCAGATTGCCGTCCTCAGCGTCCACAGATGCTCTCACTGCTGACTTGCCCGAGCAACAGTCCCTGGGATACAGTGGCCACAATTTCTCAGGCTCGTGTATCTCCTCATCTGTTGGGGAAGGGGGCTCCACACTCAAGTTTAGTTCCTGAAGAGAGCGGGAGGAGCTGACCACTGAGAACTGCGGTCTGGGAGACGACTTGAGATATTTGGGGTCAGCAGAGATTGCAATCACAGGAAGTGACTGCCTGTGGGCCCTGCTTGGGGGCTGGCCAAGGCTCTGAGCAGCAAAGTGTGGCCCTCCACTTTGCTCCAAGGACATGGATGATGCTAATGTCCTGGACCCAGGGGATTTGACTGTAGCTGCCTTCCCTCTGCCCACACTTCTAATCTGAGTGGTGCTGAAGTCATCTATATCACTTTCACCAGAAGGTGGGAGACTCCTGTCTTGCGTACCATCAACTGAGGCCTGGTCTCTCTGCTGTTCTTCCTCCTCCCAGGGACTATCGACCTGGGGCCCAGGGGTGTATTTTAACTGTTCTACCAACTTAGTTCGGGGTTCCAACCCCCCGAGGCTTCTGGACTTGGTGTAAAGTTGTGGCTTTTCTAGAAGGTGTCTGATGGCATTTTCTAAATATCCATAGTATGGTTCTGCCACCAGCTCATTCACAAGAGACTCTTCATTGGAACTCAGGGTGTGTGGTTTCCCAGTTGCTGTAGGTGGTTTCGGCTCAGTCTGAGACAACTGGCTATTCTGGCCACCTCGGGAACTCCTCGGTGGCTCAAAGGACCTGTCTGCAGGGAAAGGGGTAGCCTCAGGCTCTGTATCGGCGTTCACCTCGGAAACCTCTCTCTCAGGTCCTCCTCCTGACCCTGAGCTTCCACCAGCAACTGAGTGGCTGAGGGAACTCGTCCTCACACCAGGGACAAAAAGTGAGCCGTTGCCTTGACCCTGAGATTGGACAGCAGCATTAGCAGAGAGTTCCAGAATGCTGCTGTCTGCTGGTCCAAATTCCTCACGAAGGCCCTTGAGCTCAAGGCCATGTGCCAAGATGTCAGGGTCCCTGGAATAGCTCTGTCCTCTCTCAGCCACTCCACAGGCCCTGGAAGGTATAGTGTGGGCAGGGTGGAAAGTATGTGAGGTTTCCTGGGAAATTCCCTTCCCCGGGTTGCTATCTCTACAGTACAGTGAAGTTGAGGCGGGGGAGGGCCAGGCATTTGCAAAGGGTTGAGGACTGCCTGGTTGCTGACAAGGAAGAGTTCTGCCATCTTCTTGACCTCTAGATGGGCTGGGAGTCCCGCTGCCTTCACTCTTTCCTGAGCCGGCAACACAAGCTCGAGTTTCTTGTGGGCATCTGTAGGGGGCCTCCTCCCTAACTCCCCCAGGATCGGGGCTAGGTCCTTGATCTAGCAACGGAGTTGACCTGGGATGTTTGCAGGCTTCTGCCAGCCCAGAGCCAACACTCCCCTTCCATTTCACAGAGGGTAGCGAGGGAGTTTCACGTTCCATCCTTTTTAGGACTCCTTGTTTGGGGCTTGCTTTCTCTTCTAAGTTGGCAGCAGCCTCAAGACTTTGGACCTGGTCATGGTTAGGCCCTGAGAGACTTGCAGAATTCTCATCATGGATCACAAGTGGACTTCCAAAATAGGTTGTTTTCTCTTTCTGTGCAACTAAGAAGCTACCCGGTAAACTTCTACACGTGGTTTCTAGCATTCTGGGTGCTTGGTGTGCTGGCTGGCTTTCCTGACTGCCAGGTGACTCTGCAGTGTCCCGCAGAGCTAATGGGCTATGTCCACGTGGCATCACCACAGGCTCATCAAAAGGGGCCCGAGAAGATGTGTCAGCCCCCGCTGTCTCTGGTATTAGCTTCCCGTCCTCATCTACAGCTGCTGCTGAAGCAAGACTGTCTGAGCCCAAAGGACCAGCAGGAGAAGGCGTTCTGCTTGCTGTTTTGTTTTTCTCTTTGGTTTCAGAAGAGCTACAGTGGCATGGGAACTGTTCACTTGCACCCAGGAAACGTCCCAGCTCTCCAGTATGAAGGCTTTTGCCTAGAGCGGGGCCAGTGTGGGGAGCAGCCCGTGAGGGGTGCCAGCGCGCAGTGTTAGCTTCAGTGGGGGGCAGAGGTTGGAAGCTGTCTACAGAGAAGGGTGCAAACTGAAGAACTTTGCCGTCATCAGTCGTCATGTGTCCTGGTTCAGCAGGGAGACATGTCACATGAAATCCTTCCGCATCACCCTCACTCCTGGTCCTGTGCGACACTGGCTGGTTCACTTGTGGGCTGGGAGGCCTGCCAGGGGCCTCTGAAGAACGTTCAGGTTCTAATGTCTCATAGTAAGGAAAGACTGGGCCCCTGGCCACAGAGTCCCTACGCTGCTTTTTTGGGGCCTTTGCCTGTCTGGTCTCTCCCAACACAGCCAGGCCTGTGCATGTATGATGAGCAGAGGGCTCTGCATTAGCTACGCCTGGCGGGGACACGGGCGTTGAGAAAACGCCACTGGTAGGATTGAAGTCCTTGGCCTCCTCTGGCTTTTGCTGCACATCTCTGCCTTGGTTACCCTCTTCTGAGAGGGAGCTGGCCTGCGTTTCAAGCTGGCTAGAGACCCTGGTCAGGGAGCTGGTCTCTCTCTGCACAGCTGCCTCAGAGGTAGAACACACCCTGGACTCCAAGCCCACTGAGGGGCTCGTGAAGTTCGCTCCTTGGGCTTCGTAGCTAGTGCTTGATGTCCGGCTATCTGACCCCTGGGGAGAGCTCTCTGGTACACTAGACTGACTGTAAGACCCCACTGCTGTGGAGACTGCAGACTCCCAGCAAGCAGAGCGTGCTACTGAGGAGCTGCCGCTAACGTCTCCCTGCAGGCCTTGGCTTCCCGTCTCTCCACTCCGGTCCTGATGCCCCACACCAGTTACCAAGGTGCGGTTAAGAATTTTCAACACCATGGGATCCAGTCCCAGCATATCGTCCACTGAAGAGCTTCCGATACTACCAGGTGCATTAAGAAAGCTTCCTGGAAGGCTTGGAGAACTCCAGGGCAAAGTACCGCTCAGCTCATGGTGAGGAGGAATCGCACAAGAGTCTGGCCAGCTGGGCAGTGGGTCACTCTCCAGGCTGAAAGGTGTGCCTCCACCACACTGGCTTTGACTACCAAGACTCTGTGTGGATGAGACCATTTTGCTTTCCTCCTGTGGGCTTCTGCCTCTCTGCACAGTCATTTCAACTCTGCCTTGATCTGGTGGATCTTGCTCAGACCTGATTACGTGCTCAGCAGCTTGGCTTTCCTGAAAACCTTCTGCTCTTTCCAGCTCCTCAGGACTTCCCAAGCCGTAAGGCGGCCCCTTGTTTTCCTCTTCAGAAGACCTCTCGGGCCCGGGCTGTGCTAGCAGAGCTACAGGCAATGCTGTGGTCCTCCTGGGCTTAGGAGAAGTGCTGCTGGGCTCTCTGCGAGCTGTACAGGTCCCTCGGTGACCGCCAGAGTCCCCGGCAGGCCTGTCCAATAGGGCTGGCTGGGTGCGCTCTCTTGCAAATGCAGCTTGGTCTACATATTTCCATGATTTGATGGAAGTTGGGGTCATTTTCTGGATCTGGGACTCTTCTTCAGTGCTACGGTTAACCTCTATTTTGCCAGCATCACTAGCCCTGAAGGTAACACCATCTGTCTGTTTTGGAGAAGATGGTTGACCCATGAAGGACAAATGGCTTTTAGAACTGCCTGGCATCAGGACAAGGCCAGCCATCTCCTGGTCCTGGAACATAAACTCCTTACTGACTCTGGGTGTGTGGGAAGCACACAGCTGCTTATTCTGCTTGGATTCCATTTCCAGGATGTCATTTTCCAGACGCATTACACTCTTGATCAACCTAGCCATTTCATCATCATTCTGCTTCTTTCTACAAGGCTCTTCTTTGGGACTAAATATTTCCTGTGATTTTTCAGGGCCCTTATAATCACTAGGGTTCCTTTCCTGAGGGCATGCAACTGACAGGAATCTTTCACATGTAGACTCAGTCCCTGGAAGTATAAACTCTCCTGAGCCACCGTTAGGACGAAGAGCTTTTCCAAGAGGCCCAGTTCCATTCTTCCCCTCACCCTCGTGGGTTGGACTCTCATTTTGGGCCACTGTCTCTGGGCTGCTTACTCGATGATGTACTGACTTGGGTTTCAAAGGAACAGCCACTTCTCCTAGTTTGTCATGGCCTAAATTAGCAGACTTCGAGATGAAATCAGACCTGGTCCCAGAAGGAAACTGCCTGTTTGTATCAAAGGCCTGGTTGTGCCTCGGCATTGCATTTGGACTCTGTCCTTCCTCACCCGTCTCTTCCGTTTCGCAGCGGAAGAGAGGCTTCCTAGATCCAGGACTGGCTGCGGAAACACTGCAAGGGGACTGCATGGTGGCCTTTTCTTCCTCCTTGAATGAGGGAAGACTGCGTTTATTTAAAATCCCAACTGGGTTTTCAAATTCACACACTTTTGTGCTGGTAGATGGGATAATGTGTCTATTCTGAGCAACAAAAATATAAAAGGAATTATAGCTTCCCTCTTTAACATTTCCAGAACATTTTTCCATTTCTCTACTAACTTCTTTGGCAACTGGATCATCTGGTCCCTCTGCTGCAACCTGCTGTGTCAAGGACCTCCTGGGATTCTGGTTTTGTAAGAGCTGTGGGAAATTCTTCTTCAAATAAGCATTTTTGAGGAGCTGGCAGTCACGACCAAAGACCCAGGCCTCCCTGGGGGGTGGGGAGGGCACTCTGGCTTCTCTGCAAGCCGGGATCTCTAAGGCAGTTTCTGTCAGGGCGTCCCGGCTTTTGGTCACATAGAAGGTTTCCAAGGCAGGTGGCTGCAGGGAAGATGGGACCGGATTCCAGGGAGCTGAGTGGAGGTACAGCTCGGGACCTGACGGACAGCCAAAGGCAACATCTCTGTGTCCTTTGGCCACTTCCTTGGAGCTCTCCTCGTCATCTACCTTCCCTTCCTTCAGGGGCTGGTGGCTGCCGAGGCTTAATGGCCCAGTCTGTACTGCATTATTCTTCCTGAGAGGAGCCCGGCCTTGGGGCCAACGGCCACCTTCAGCAGCAATGGTGACATTACTGTTTCTGGAGTTCAAGGAGAAACATTCATCAGAAGAAGTCATTGCTTCGGGGTTCCTGCTTCCCCCAGAACACTCTTCCACGTTCTTTTGGACTTCACATGCGTCTGTCGTGGGATTTACTATCTTTTCTGCTACAAAGTGTGCACCTGTAGCTCCAGAAGCCAGTGATTCTATGTCTGCTGAGTAATTCCCACAGAAACTCACCTCTTTCTCACTAGTTGTGAAGAAATCTACAGTACTTTCTAATTCGATACTCAAACTGTCCTGTTCTTTTTCTGCTCTTAAACGCCTAATTTTGGCTAGCTGGATAGGAGGTCTGAAATGCAGGCTGTTGCTTGGCCCAGGTAATAGAGTGTCTTCTCTTAGGGTCAGGGGGCCTGAGTCCTCCTCAAGGGAGGAGAAAGCTGGCCTGGACTCTCCTTTGGCCTCCAGAACAGGGTGAGACAGTTCAAGGAGGTACTTTTGCTGTAGGACAGCCCAGTCGCTTTCACAAGCTCTGCCTACATGAGTGAATGAGTTGGCAGAAGCAGTCAATACACTGAATACACTAGAATTACTGGATGCCTCGGAGGTGGCATGTTGGGCCAAGTCACAGGTGCCTCTGGCCTGAAAGGTGCCATCAGCTTCTGGATGAGGCAGCTTGTGAGACAGACTCAGTGACAACCTGGACGTATCTGAAGCAGGCATTGTGTACATGCTTCTCACACCACGGGGCAGCTCAGGACTGCCCTGGGGTCGTTGAGAGCCAGGGGGCAGGGCCGCCTCTGTAGCTGAAGGCTTTGGTTCTTCCATATTTAGCCAGTAGCCAGGTCTCTCCCAACCAGAATGCTGCAATTCCTGCACAGCAGGACTTGGACATAAAGAACCCACTATCTCCAGAGGGCTACTAGGGTTGATCTTGGAGTCGCAGGAAAACCAGGAATCCATGGACACCAGAGGGCTTCCTCTTGAAAGCTGCGTGGCCTGGAGACTGTCGACTTGTTCAGAGTCCCCCATCACCTCCGACTCAGGCTGCTCACGGCAGGGCCAGGGCTCGAGGTAAAATGAACTGCTCCTTGGTGGGCTGTCTTCTAGCTTGCTTTTTGCTCTGTGGCTGACGGGGCCACACCTGTATATTGCCTCTTGGTCCACTACAGGCAGACTGGGAGTCTGCAGGCGCCAAAACGTCTCTGTGGGCATCTCATCGGAAGCTCCAAAGACAGACTCTTCTTCATGCTGATCTCCCAGTTCTTCCTCAGCATCAATCAGGCTATCCAGGGAGAAGCTCCTGTGAGTTTGGATGACTAGTCCACTTTCTGAGGATGTGCTGAAGTCCCTTAGGGAGGCTCGTGCTCTGGTCCTGGGGTGGCCTTGGGGCTTGGTAAGATAATTGCCCCTTGGGCCGTCTTGTGGGTTTTGGTACCCCTTCTCAGCCAGCGAGTCCTCAGATATTTGACTATCGTCACTTTCCGTGTTCTCTGCCTCTCGGTGCTCCTGCTTCTCCTGCTTCTTTCCCTGGGGCTCCTCTGGCTTCAGGGGCTCTGTCAGGCCTTTGGTACGAATACATGAGAGAGAATCTGCGGAGTAACTGCTATCTGCATCAGATAAATCACCTAAATCACCATCTTTTTCTCTTGCATGATCCACTCCTGGGCTAAAATCCGCAAGTGAGGATGTGGTGTCTGGGTCCTTTGTACTGTGTCGTCTCCGCAAAGGAATGCCGCGAGGCAAACGAGAGGCCTTCTTGGCAACATCTCTGACCCTAGCTGCCTGCACCATCTGCTGCCTTTTTGATGCCCTCCTTAGAGGTGGTTTGGAATCTGACCAGGCAGTCTTGGCTGCCCTCCCACGCCCTGCTGTCTGTCTGGGTGCAGGAGGATGTGACGAACCACAGCCAGTTCCCTTAGCACTCTTGTGGGCCCCAGGGGATCCTTCTTTCCGCCACCCTGCAGGTATGTGTCCAGAGTCTGTGAGTCCCTTTGCCCTCCTGGGCTGCGTGGAAGGAGTGAGGGCATCTGGCTCATCTCTTGTTTTTAGCTTGCTAGTTGACTGGTTCAGAAATGCTGAACTCTGGGGCACCATCCGACGGGGCGGTTTACCTCCCCTCTCCATTTCCAGGATGCTGGCCGAATTAGAGAGCTCAGTGAGGCAGGTGACTGGAACGGAGGTCCCTTTCCTGCCCAGGGCTCCCCGAACTATGCAGAGCTGCTCCTGGCCTGAGGAACAGAGGGCATGCTTAGGGAAATGCCTTGTCCTTGGAGGGTAAAAAGCAGCCTGGGGCAAGGGCTCTTCTGATGAGGTTTTCTCTGCTGTTTGGTGAGTAGGGGAAGGCAATGTGGTGGAGGGACTCCAATTCAGGTAAACCCTGTGGAGAGAAGGAAAACAGCTCAGCAAGTTAAGAGGCCTCTCCTTTCTGCTGAGCTGACAGAGGGACTCTAAAATCCCACAGCTTATTCTGCAAAATGTTAAAACCTAGGCCAATGTCACTGTCCCTTCCAGTCTTTCAGGGTCAGAGAAAAGCTCTAGGAGCTGCAGTAATCCTCACTCTTCAGTTACACTCCATCCCTCAGTTTCATTATCTTTTACAAGGGTTGAACTTGATCAAAAGGCAATTGTGCCTTTTGGGGGAAACGTCCAATAAAAAGGCAATATGAGGACCACAGGGACAATGACATTTTAAGGAATCAAACAAGTCTATATAGTGGCACATTGTGGAGCGCTAACTCTCTAACCAATCAACGATAAGTAAAATAAAAAGATTAAGGGAAAAAATGATTAAGAAATAAAAAGATTAAGATTTATCCACACAAAGCATGGTCTTAATTTGAACAAGTATAGATATTTTTGAAGGTAATCAGGGAAATATAAATATATTATAGATATAGGTATATTAAATAAATAGATCATAACTTTTTAGATCATGAATAACATCTTAATTTTCCTAAGTATGTGGTTATAAGTTCTTATTTTTAGAAGTGTAATCTTAAGGACACAGGAATGTAATGGCAGATGTCTAGAAGCTGCTTTAAAATACCTCAGAAAGGGCCTCTCTGGTGGTGCAGGGGATAAAGTCTCAGCGCTATCAAGCTATCACCATCCACTGCAACATGAGTTCAATTCCCAGCCAGGGAGGTGACCCCCATGACACAGCAGACCTCTCCTGTTTTGCCCACTGTTCCCCTCAGAAGTGTATTTCATTTGATCTGCCTGTTCTGCTCCCTACTCTGTCTCTGGTGAATCCTCTCATCCCCTGAATCTCTGGCCTACACCCTAGTTCTTGCATGCATTAAAAAAGTCTTTAAAAAATACTTGAGAAAAAGAAGATGGAGAGGTAATGCAAGCATGGCAAATCTTGATACCAGTTGGATAGGGTGATAGGCACACCAGCTTCCCAACTTAGTGTAGTTTGAATTTTTTTTCTAATAAAAGTTTCTAAAAATCCTGCCTAGCCCTCTAAAGATGTAAAGAGGTGAGAAAGCAATAATACCAATAGATACTAACAGGCAAGTCCCTGAGCTGGGCCTGGAGAATAGAAATAGAGACAGAAGACAGATTCCTGCTCCAAGTAGCCTGGGAAAGAACATTTCATTCCTTGCCTGAATGTGGGGAGTAAAGGAGAAAAGAAACAAGGAGATGCCAAACTGAACCTGGGAGTTAGATTGTGTTCCACTACTCACCAGTCAGACAGCAGGTCAGGAAGCTCACTTGAGGGGGTAGGTCAGGTGGGCAGGGAGGTGGAGGGGAATGGAGGTGGGGGCAGGACATATGGAAGGAGAGAGGGAGACAGCCAGCTAAGAAGCAGATGAAAAAATGAGGCTAGATCCTCACTCCGAAGATACCACCAAAGAAGCAAGAGCTGCCACTCAGAGTGCGAGAAGTCTTAGAAGATACCACTTATGGAAGAAGAAGAATGGAAGGAAAAAGTGATGAGGAAAGGGGGAGTAACACTTTCCATGTCACAGATTGAGGAAACAGGCCCTGGCGGGTAAAGAACACAGCCCGGGCTGCAAAGCCACAGAGCACAGCCAAGCGCCTCCAGGACAGACGTCGTCGCTGGCAGTACCTGTGCAGCTGGTGCCAGTACCGGCTGCAGAGCCCCCGGAGGCTCAGAGAGCCACAGCTAGTCGACTCGCTGCTACACTGAGGTTCTGGGCCCACGCCGCCAGGGCATGGGGCCGGGCATGGGCGTCCTTGGGTGTGGTCATCCTGGAGCCAGTGCAAGGCCTGGAGCTGCTCCAGTCTCCTCCGGGCCTCCAGCAGCCTCTGCCTCCTGAGGATTCTCTCCAGCTGGAAAGAGACCTTCCTTCTCTGGCCCTTCCGCTCTGCCGCCCGAAGAGCGCGTCTTGGCAGGAGTGGTGGCTGCACCACCCTCTTCTGCCTTCGGACCGGTGGGGATGGTCGAATGTCAGGTCCTGCTGGAAGCCAAGCATCAGGTGGCCCGGGGGCCCCAAGCTCTTTCCCTGCTACATGGTCTTGCTGTTGCTGCCGCTGCGAACTGGCTGGCCAGGTCTCTTCTCTGAGCCACTGCTGGTCTGGAAACCAAAAACACGCTGAGAGGAAGTCTACAGCCCCCCCTCCCTGCCTGTGGCTGTCTAGGCTCAGACACCCCCAGTCATGGCTGAGCCTGAGTGGACTGAAATGCTGGCCCAGGTGATGTGGCACAATGAGGGCTCGGAACCCTCTTACCACCGGGTCAGGGGATGAAGTTCCCCTGTGGCCTCCATGGCAGCAGGAGGCGAAGCATGACTAGGATGCATGTGAGAAGGAGTGGGCAGGAGGCCCAGCCCTCTGTGGGGCAGTAGGGAAGGTCGCTAAAAGTGGGGAGAGAACACCTAATGCTAAAGATTCCATCATATCACAAAGAAAACAAAGGAGAGAATTCAGAAGACTGGGGAGGCACACAAAGGAAGAGGTGAGAGTGGAGCAGACCCGTGGGCAGTGGCACCTACTGGCGGGGACCGGCTGGCTGGTGCGTGCTTGGTCCAACTCCAGATCCTGCTGGGCTCTAACCTGTCCTGCTGCGAGTCGCTGCCTCAGGTCCCCCACAGAACACTGCTGCTGCTGAATCTGGGCTCTGTGGGGTGCTTCTCCAGCCTTGGGCAGTTGGTGCTGGTCACTCTGCTCCTCCAGCAGTCTCCTGTCACAGAGGGGCTGGAGTTACCCAGGGAGCATGCAAGCCCAGCTCAGGGCAAACCAGTGATACTCTGTGCCCAAGAAAGCACTGAATTCAACAGGGCCGAGAGAGCTTTAGACTTCTGGTCACCTGGGGTCACGCGCAGTGTCACAGGCAGCGCGTGATGTCACAGTGCAGGAGGGAGAGAATGATCCTTCACTGGCATATTCTTAGAGTTGTGGTTTAGAAGAAACAAATTCACTTTGGTTAAGGAAAATAACTGGGAAAGTAAAGCAGTTGGTTCTTCAAACCAGACATTTTAGCACAGTCAAGAAACTGCTCCTTTAAAAAGTCACCTGCTTTTCTACCCAAAAGACACAAAAATACCGATTCAGAAAGATTGCCTGCACACCCATGTTTGCTGCTGCTTTATTTACAATTGGAAAGACATGGAATCAACCCAAATGCCCAAAAGTAGATGACTGGATTAAAAAGATGTGGTACATATACACAATGGAATATTACTCAGCTACCAAAAAAGACAAATACA